CATGCTAAACCCACAGAGACTAATTTTTAATATATCCTCATTACTTTAAAAGTGATAGACATAAATATTCAAGAACAATCAATAAAAATTAATACATTCTGTATTTGCCTTGAACATTTGTGCTTTAAATAGACCTGCTACTGTCAAGTCAGTTTGGACTTAACAGTGACCTTACAGAATGGAGCTCTGATGGCCCAGTGGGCCAGGAGTTGTGTTACCAACCCAAAGACGGGTAGTTCAAATCCACTAGCCGCTCCAAGGGAGAACAGTGGGCAGACTCCTCCTATGTGATTTACAGCCTCTGAAAATCTGCTGCATGGTCAGTTATCAGTCAGTTCAAACTTGACAGCAGAACACACACACAGTAGAGCTTCCTCATAGACTTTCTGTGTCTCTGTGTCCTTATGGGACCAGTGACCTTTCTAGTAATAGTCAAACCCTCTAACCACCGTGTCAGCCAACCTTTTTGCGCATGAGTTGTTGTTGTTGTTGTTATTGTTATGTGCTGTTGAGTCGTTTGCGACTCATAGCGACCCTATGTACAACAACCCTAAACCGTGCTCTATCCTGTGCCATTCGCATTGCCTCTGACACACCCATCCCGATTACCCCAGTCATTGGATCAATCCACCTCATAGAGGGTCTTCCCCTCCTGCGCCATCCCTCCACCCTACCAAGCATGATGTCCCTCTCCAAGGACCTGTCTCTCCTTATAGGATGTCCAAAGTATGTCAGACGAAGCCCCAAAATCCTTGCCTCCAAGGAGTAGCCTGGTTTAACTCTCGCCAGGATGAATCTTGTTTGTTTTCTTAGCAGTCCAGGGTACATTGAATACTCTTCTCCAGCACCACAGCCCAAAGGCATCAATTCTCCTTCTATCCTCCCTAGTCATTGTCCAACTCTCTGATGCATAACAAGTGATTGCAAAGACCATGGCCTGTATCAGGCGCACCTTAGTCTCCAGAGAGAGACCATGTGCCTTGTACACTGGCTGCTTAGCATACAGACTAAATAGGTATGGTGAAAGTATACAAACCTGGCTCACAACTCTGTGATCTTAAACCAAGGATTAAAAAACCAGATGCCCTGCTATCAAGTAGATTCAGGCATATAGTGATTCTTTCTGTGGGATTCTGACTCTGTTCTCTGGAGTAGACTGCCTCATCTTTCACCTGTAGGGAGCCTGGTGGGTTCTAACCTGTGGCCTTCAGGTTAGCAGCTGGATTCTCTAACTGCAGTACCACCTGGGCTTCTGTGCCTGTGTTAAGAACAGATTTAAATTTCATTGTTTTCCCACAGATACCCCTGTTCCATGCATCTCTCACTTTGCTTTCTGGTGCTACCTTTTCTATAAGCTTCTGGCAGCGCCACTCTTCTTGATCTATCTCTAATTCCTTGGTTTCTCCTCATCACTGACCTTCGTTGGGTTTCCAAAGCTGTAAATTGCAAAAGAGATTGCGGAGTAGTTGGTGGGTTTGAACAGCCAAGTGTTTCCTTTGGATTAGAGTGCACCCTCTGTGCTGTGCCACTAGCCCTCCCTCTTCCTCCCTGACATCCTATATTTTTCTTAGACTTTACTAATGCCTAACATAATAAAGGGAGTGCTGGTGGCCTAGGAGATAAGGAGTTTCTCGCAAAGGCAAGTGGTTCATAAACACCAGCTGCTCCAGGGAGAAAGTTGAGCAGTTTCCTCTTGTGCCATTTACAGCCTCTGAAAACCTGCTGGAGGGTCAACTCTAAGTTAGTTTGACCCGCCAGCACATAATAATAACAACAGAATAACAACAACACCACTTTTCATCATTAAAAAATGTACAGAAATTCATGCTGGATTCAAAAGAGGATATCATTGCTGATGTTGGATGGACTTTGGTTGAGAGTAATACTAGTAAGATATTTACCAGTGCTTTATGGGCTATGCTTTTAACTCTGTGAGTCATAAAACGTTACGAATAATATTGCTAAGAATGGGTATCTCAGAACACTTAGTTGTGCTCATATGGAACATGTATAAAGACCAACAGGCAACGGTTCAGACGTAACAAGGGGATAATCCTTGGTCTAAGATCACGGAGTTATGAGCCAGGTTTGTATCCTTTCACCGTACCTATTTAGTCTGCATGCTAAGCAGCCGGACTGTAAGAAGAAAAATAAGGCATCAGAATTAGAGAAAGACTTATTAACAACCTAGAATATGCAGATGACACAGCCTTGCAGAAAACCAAGAAGACTTACTGATGAGTGAAGCTCAGAGACGCCTTAAGTATGGATTAGACCTCAACATAATGCAAAGAAAAATCCTCGCGATTGGCCCAGTAAACAATATCGTGATAAACAGAAAAGATTAAAGTTGATTGCCATTTTACTTCGATCCACAGTCAACACTGGGAGCCACAATTTGGAAATTACATATTCCAGTGGGAAAGAAATCTACTGCAAAAGGCCTCGTTAAGGTGTTAAAATCAAGGCTGTCTCTTTGAAGTCTAAGGTGTACCTGACCCAAGTCCGTGATCTTACCAGTCACTTCATATGCTTGTAGAAGATGGACAGAGAGTAAGGAAGACTGAAAAATAACTGATGTCTTTAAACGATGCTGTTAAGACTAAACCATGGACTGCTCGAAGAACGAACAAATCTATCTTAGACGATCAACAGCGAGAATTTTGTTTAAACATAGTGTCACATCCTCTGGGTTTATCATCACAAGGGCCTGTTTTCTGGATAAAGACACCATGTTTGGTCAAGTAGAGAGTTAAAGTAGAGTGATTGGTTCATGTTCAGAGGTTTGCCCTTTCTTCCTTTCCTCCTTCTCATTTTCCTGTCTCTTTGTCTCTCCTCCCTGTTTGTTTACAGTGGTTATTGAATAAACCAGGTTTTTTTGCATTTGCTCTCACCCTGATTTTTGCTAGTTAGTGGTGCACTGTCCCTTTGCCCCTCTGTTCTTCCTAGGAATTGGTGGGTGGATCTAGGAATTAAGTCAAATTAGGAGGGCTTTTTTACAAGTTAACGTTTTAAAATAATGTGTCATCCAAGTTCTGGTATATATTTTAAGTTAGCTATAAGGGTTTAGATATAGCATGATTGTACAATGCAACTTTGTTGAATTTGTTAAAAGATATGAATGATGACTTTATAAAAGTATTTCTTTTACATTTAATATCCATCTTCTTAGATTTATTTAATAAGTAGTTCATTGCTAGTTTTTTTCCCTCCAGTGTAATTTAGAACATAAAAGTAATTTCCATAGCTTGCTGGAATTTTAATCTGAGAAAATGGACTTCAGTTTATAATAACAAAATTGTTGATAACTGGTATGTTCAGTAACATCACAATAAAAAAGATTCCTTGGTCTGAAGTAAAAAAACCCTGGTCTTATTCTCAACTGATTGCGATCTATTTTATATAAATGTTTACATAGACAACTGGATTCCCCTTTAACACTTTTTAATCCAGATTTTTCTGTGCCGTTGCTAACAGTTTGTACAGTGTGTCAGCGTTCTCACTATTTCTGTCCCATTTGCTCTCTCTCTCCATTGCTGTCACTTTTCATCACTACCTTGCCTTTCCATCTTTGTTTTTGAGTAAATGCTGACACTCTGTTAACATATAGTTAATTGTTTAAAGGAGTATATTCCTCACAGACGATAGATATTGTTTATAATCCAATTGATTATTTGCCCGAAAAATGACCAGCAGAAATAATTTCATTTCTGAGTTCGGAGTAACTTAGGGCAGTAGTCTTCAGAGCCCTGCTAGTCAGTAAAATGCATTCTGTCTCTGGCTTATTTGTGTAAGGACTTACTCATGTAACTTAGTACTTCCTTTAGCAGGGAAACATAATTTTAGGATCAACTTGTAATTTACGTAGATTCTTACCCAGTTTAAAAAAAGAGTTACTTCTTGAAACATTTCCTTGATTTTTGCTATGGTGAGGAATTTAGAAGTAGTTAAACAAACTGGTAAGAAATGAGATTTCATCATTATCTTTAAAAATTAAATTATTATTTCAGAGTATAAGTAAAGACATGGATAGGTTAGGAAGATATTTGTGGTAGAGGTACTTTTCTGGAGTTTTTACAGTTTAATGAGGTGATTTCCATATTCTCAACTTAAAATTTTATGGTATAATATTTCATTTGTTTATACTTTCTTCAAACTAGGTATATCATAGTGAATTTTCTTTCCCCAGAAGTTTTTGTTGTATATTTTCCTATGCCAGGGATAAGTTTTTTTAAAAAAGCGGTCACAAAAACCAGCTTTCATCAAATTGTTTCCAACTAATAGCAGCCTTGTTGGGTAGAATAGAATTGTTTGCGGAGCTTCCAGAATGCTGTGATCTTTCCAGAATCTAGACTTCCATACCTTTCTTTCGTAGAGTAACTGAGGATTTGAATTGCCGATCTTTCCATTAACAACCAAGCACTTAACTACTGGACCATGAGGCACTGTACCAGCACTACTCAACACTGTCACTGAGTTGATTCTAGCTCATGGTGACCCTGAATGACAAAGTAGAACTGCCCCAAAGGGTTCCAAGGCTGTAAATCTTTATGGGGGCGAAGCAGATTACCTTCCCTTTTTCCAAGTATCACTGTTGAGTTTGAACTGTTGGTCTTTTGGCTAGTAGCCAAATGTCTTAATCATGGTGCCACCAGAGTGCTATAGCAGTGAAACACATGCAGAGATTTAAAGAGGAGCTACATTTAGTTTTGCAGACGGTATACTTTTTTTTATGTTTAGGAGATATCTTTTGATGCTTTGGTACTATTATTTTTTTAAACATGGTCAAGTGATTTCATGGCATTAACAAAGGAAAATTATAAGTTATATAGGGAGGATAAAAATCTGGAGACCAGCCAAGTAGGATTTAACAGCATTACTGTAGCTCTTAGTTGCATCAGGATCTACCTCAGAAAGGGATTCTTCTTAAGGTGTTGGTTAAAGGGGTTTATTGCTTATCAGAAGATTTGACCTTGTGAACTGACTTATTCTTCTCCAAGGAACTTGAGAGAAAAGACAACGATAGCAGTTACATCTAGAGGCTATTATGGATTGGAGGATGAGAAGGGAACTGCATGTACTTCAACAAGGCGTCGGTCAACACCGAGAAGTTTGGCAGGCTTGACAAGTGGAGTTTTTGAATCTATAATGGTTCAAGTTTTGAGACAGGAAGAACAGCTGAGAGCAAAAGAAGAAAAAAGGTAAATGTAAAAAAAATTAAAATTAAGTTTCATGATGTTCAAGTGTTCAGAAATTAACTTCCCCCCCAAAAAAATTTGTATGCCCATATCAATTCCTATAACCATTTTAATAGTGTTCCAAAATACACTGTCATGAAAATTTTAATTTGTGATGAACCTATCACATTGATATTTATTAAATAATACAGTTTTAATTTCAAAGCAATTAACTTTAAAGCCGTATAAAAATAATTTTTATAAAGATTTCCAAATACTTTCCAAATTTTTAAAACATATTCCCAAATTAACAGTCACTCCAGCAGCGGGCTTGCGCATTGTGGATGGTGCAGAATAGGGCAAGGTTTCTGCTTCTTGTTCATAGGGTTACTAATAACAACAGCATTCTAACATGGTTTCTAAATTTTAAATTAATTTTATATTGATCTCTATAGCTTTAGACTTTTCTATATGGTATAAAATCATAGACCTTTAAAATCAGAAGATACTCCAGAGATCATGTAGTTCAAGAATGACAAAAAGCTCTTACTTTTGCCCTTTCCTCCAAAGGCAGTGCATTTCCTAGACAACTGTGTTTACTATGGGTTTATTAGGAAAAAGCTCAGGTAATGATACTGTATAAGGTTTAGGAATTTCTAATGATGGCAGATATACTTTTTGTCTTAATTTCACAAATAAGGACTAGGACGTGGAAGGATTAAAGGACAACATGTAGTCTTTGGTTGTAAGTAAGATCCATTCCTAAGTCTCTTTAATCTTTAAGTGGAATTTGTAGGTGAGTCAGAACTTGTGTATGTGATTCTTATTTAGCCTTGCTTTAGTGCAGGAAAAGATGCTGTCTTTTCAGTGGCTTAAAAGCTGCATGAGCAACAAGTAAAGTGATGTTGAAAACTTTGTTGCAAGTAAAGGTTGATTCAGAAATTTCTAAGTGAGGACATATTTATATAATTAAAGAACAAGGAGGGGCTGTATCCAGTCATTGGTAACCCAGGCACTGCCTGTACTCAAGTTTCTCCACTGACAGAACAAAGACTGGTCATTTTTAGACTAAGTCAAGTCTCTTAGGAGTGATTATTGATGGTATAGGGAATTACTAATCCTACCCAGGGCAATACTGAATATTTTGCTGTTCTTTTTGTAATATAACCTGCTTTGGTGTTTTCAGGATTTATATTCAGCCATGACATTTTATTTTCATAATTTTCACAGCATTTGTTACTTATGAGCCCACTGTGAAGTACTTTTTTAACCTTGTCCAGAGCCTCATTACTACTGCTCTTCCTCCAGGAAAAGGGTGCTTATGGAAAAGGGGAAGATGAGTTTGACAAGCGAATGGTAGATTGGAATGGGAGAGACTGGAGAAAGGAACGGCTTATAGGGAAAAAGTGGTAGTCCCAGAAATAGGGAGAGATGAAATTGTTCAAAGAACCATCAAAAAAAAAAGTAGTTCCAGCCTTGCAAATTATGCCTACTTACCTGGCACCATAATAGAGTCTGAAAAGCCTTTTCCACTGTTCTGTCAAGCCAGCTGCTTCAGGATGATGGAAAGTTCGGGACCATTGTTACACTTCATTTCCTGTGAATTGAGTTCCTTGATCAAAGTGAGTGATATGTTACTGTTAGTGGATAAACATTTTCTAAATGTGTAAATGGTCGTTTTGGTGGAAGCATTGCATGTAAGGAAAGCTAATTGGAATACAGAGTTAAGTGTCTTCTGGTAAGGACAACCCTTTTCCAGTGATGGAAGCTGTCCAGCGTAGTTGGCCTGCCACCAAGTATCTAGCTGATGGCCCTGTAAATAGTGCCATGTCAGGGATTCAGTGTTAGTATCTGCTGCTGGTGGTTGGGCACTTGGCAATAACTAGGTTGGTCTTGATAAATGAAAATCTTATTGCTAAGCATAGCCTCCATCTTTGCCACCAGGCAGCTTTATCAGCCCATTGGGCAGTGTCACGAGTATCTGAGGAAGAAGACTGACTGACAATGTTTTTATAGAACTTGTCATCTATCCATTTATTAAAATACTCCTCTGCTAAGGCCACCCTTTTGTGAGCATTCACAAGAAGTACAGCATTTTCACTCCCACCCATTTTCACTTCCTTGTCACCATTAATGTTCCTTCCAAGTCCCTGACCAAACCATTTCTCATACAGCTCATGAATCAGTATAAAGTTGCACATCTGATCATTTCTCCTTCCAAGCAAAATGAACAAGCAGGTATTTGTGCAAAGTTCTGCCCACTAGGGAATTTCCTTCACTTCCAGAGTGTGCGTGAAGGTAATATAGTGCTCCAGCTGTCCAGTTTGGGGTGATGTCAGTATATCCAGCAGAACCATCTATAAACCAGGCCCAGTTTTCTGTTCTTTTTGTCTGCTGATTGTGTAGAACCCACGATGATACCATGGTCCAGTCTGCTTACAGAGTAGGAGTGCGGGCCATGAGCATTTAGATTGCCTCCTTAGGTCGTTTCCTCAGGGCTTGGTTGAACCCAAACCTGTACGTCACTTCTGTTGGATGGGGGAAGACTGTTGTGCATACCCAACTTTATAGGTTGGGTCAGAGAACCCCCAGTTCATGATGAGCAGTGCAGGTCACTTGGTAATGTGGAGGTGCATGGCTAATTGTTCATTAGGGCCTAGTAGCAATCCAGAAGTTATTTCTCAGAAGTAGAGTATTGTAGGTTATTGCTCCAGAATCTAAAAGTCTGTGTTGTGATTTATGTTTAAGGACCTATCAGAGACTTGAAGCAGCCTGCCTCTGACACTTTAAGCACCAGTGGAGCTGCCAGGTCATGTGACTTACTACCAGAAGAGCATGAACCTGTTGCTAGACCCTTTCTTGTTCTGGACCCCAATCTGAATTAGCCCTTTTATTTAAGTCACTCGGTAAATGAACTGGAGTAATAGAGCAGATGAGGAAGATGTTGCCTCCAGTAATCCAAAGAAACCCCAGTGTGCCTCAGTTTCAGTTATAAGAGTGATTAGATGCAACAGCTTGACTTCATCTTAGAAAGCTTGTCTTCATACGGTTCACATCACTGGACGTTTTAGGAATTTCACTGAGGGAGAATCCATGTCTTAGAGAAAGTACAACCAGATGCCCCTTGGAGACAAGGATGGTGAGTCTTCATCTCATATACTTTAGGCATGTTGTTGGGAAGGGCCAGTCCTTGGAAAAGGATATCTTGCTTGGAAAGGTAGAGGGCCAGCAAAAGAGACTAATACAAACCCTCAACAGGATAGATTTATGCAGTAATTGTTACAGTGGGCTCAAGTATATCGGAGATGATGATGATGGCAGGGAATAGGGTCCTATCCTATTCAGGTCCATTGTTCATGGGGTCACAGGGCATCATTGGCACCTGACGGTACATAAAAATAACATCAACCTACTTACCAGTAAGTCTAGAGTACTTGCCACTACTTGCTTACGGTTCAACTTGTCATCAGTATAATTAATGGGCCAGTGTGATGGCTTGTAAAAAAGAAAGGCAGTCAGGGTCTTTGAATACTTAACATACGTTCCTGAAATAGATACTTAAGGTGTATTGGTGACCACACTAGGTTAGAAGCAAATGCTTCTGGTGGGTGGTCTTAGACTGTTGTATGAAGGGGAGGACAGAGAGAAGTGGTTCAAGTGTTGGTTGGCTTCTTTTTTTAAAAAATTCTATTATTTTGTGTGTGTACCATCAAATCGGACCTGATTGGTACAGGAGGAGATTGTCCCTCTTTCTCCAGCAGATCATCTGGTGGATTTGAATTGTGCGCCTCTGGAATCGCAGTGCAGCTTCTTGCCACTAAGGCTACCAGAGCTCCCTGCTGGCTTCTTACAGAAAGGTGGGTCAAACCCACTGGCAACTCAGTGAAAGAAAAATGTAATAATCTAATTTTGTAAAGATTTCCAGCCTTGGAAATCTATGAGGTGATTCTTCTTGGCCTTCCAGAGTCATGATGAGTTAGAATTAACTCAGCGCTGTGGGATGGAGAAAAAAGCATTTCCCATATCAGTTGCTGCTTGCTGTGCACCACTGGATGAGTTCATTTGCTCAAGCAGTTAAACTGCGTCTTAAACAGCAGTTGCAGTGGAATCCAGAGTAATTGTCCGTCTGTTTTCTGCACATGCCAGGTTATGCGAGTTGAGAGGCTAGACGGAGTGGAAGACACCACTCTTGTTTTCTTCAGCTAACCTCTCCAGTCTCTTCAAGAGCACAGTTTTTATTTTGGTTTACTGTTTCGCTACATAGACACAGTTCTTGTGGCTTACACTTGACCATTCCTATAAGTGCCCTCATTCAGAGATCAGGGAACCAGTATAAGAAATTGCCAGTTACTGAGTATATCTATTAAAGCTAGAGTGAATTTTTCATAATACAAATCTGATCATATATGATTCACCTATATTGATAGCCACCTTTCTTTCCAGAACAAACAAGCACAATGAAAACTAGTTATTCAACAAGATTTATAGGCCTTGCTTTGACTTGTTAACCACTCACTGCCGCTGATTCCTCTTCGTGTCCTCATTCTTGACATTCTAACCATGGTGACCTCCTTTCCCTCCTCCAGTGTCGAGAGCATTGGCTCTGTGAGCCTACATGAAAGCACATCTAAAATGGACCACTAGTGGGGAATTTTTTTTTCTCAATCTAAACGTTTATAAAAGCTTGCTGAGTAAGCAGGCTCTTCTTTCAGAAATTAAATACAGTAACTCTCAAAACTTGTAAGGTGTTAGAACCGGCACAATTGCTGTCAAATGAGAATAAATGCCTTTTGAGCCAATCCCAGGATTTCTTTTGACTTCTAAGAAGAAGACTGACATTTAGGCAGCAACAGTCTCTCTGTCTAATACCATAGCAGGAATAGTCAGAATAACTGAAGAACTATGCATTGTAAAGTTAAACCTGGAAAGGGACTTTGAAATCACATGGTGGAACACATAGGAGGAGGATCCTAGAGATCCCATGATTATTGTTTGTGCTTGAATGATAGGCCAAGGATTTAACA